CCTTCACTTGATCCTCATAACATCTGATCCTTTCATCACCAGCATGAGAAAAATAACCAAGAAGAAAACAGTGTCGCTCGAAAAAGATTTATTGTCTTCAGTGAAGGAACCAGACGTGGATATCTCACAAGATAGCGACAGCAGCGAATCATTGATGAGTAATAATTTTGACGAATCGCTATGAAAATGAATATTTGTGTGAAATGACCCATGAAAATAATAAATACCAATCTAGCACCACTTTCCAATGTGACATTCTTCCCGAAAAACATTAAAAACAATAGATTAATTTCTGCCAACAATTCGTATATTTGGCCCCACTGTGCGCTAGTTCAAATTTCTTGAACATAACACTTTTATTCACGAATTACGTTTTCTTGTACATCATTATACATCATTATAATAGACAGGTAATTCATGGATCGATTCATTTTAAACATAATTTGTACCATTACACATTACTGAAGGCTTATTTGTCGAATCTATAATATGTGCTTTTTATGTTTCGTAGATTATTATCCAAAGGAATAATCACACCAAACACTCATGGTTTCTTTTCCGTACTAACTGTCTCTTCTTCAAAGTATTCTGTGACTTAACCTGCAGATCACACAGGCATGGCAACTATTTCACAATTGTATATATAATAAAAGGCAGCACATGAAATCACTATGATCAGTGCGTTTAGATCGAAATAGTTTATTATTCAACGAGCAAGAAATGTAGTGTACTTACCTAATGGATATATGGCCATCATTCGTGAAAACCAAGTTCTCTTTCAAACTGTCGTGTAAAAGTGGTTACATCCTCTCGAATTATTCTTCTTTTTCAAGACAGTTTTTCAGATTTCAAAATGTTTCACCACTGTCACGAAACGAACAAAGTTCCACCTGTGTTCTATCATCTGTCCATAACTAACCTTCAGCTAGCATACACCGAACATTCATGAGATTGTATTCTTTGGAGAACATGAGCCAAAATACATAGAAGAAGCAAAATAAACAAACTAAAATTTGATGAATACTCTGTAAGATATAAGTTCTCAATCACCATATTACAATCCTTTTATTTAAAAAAAAGTTTTAAGGATGACTATTATCTATGATGAGGATATATGGTAATTACTCGTGAGAATGAAGTTCTCTTTTTGAAGGTGACGGGTAAATGTGGTAGCATCCTCTTAATTTATCCTTCTTCTTCAAGACTGTTTACGGTTTTGGAATGCTTCGCCAACTTGTCACTGTTCCAAAGCAAGAAAAGTTTTACTTGGGTTGTACTATATGTCCATAACGAACCCTTAGCTGGCACGACATGAGCCAAAATATATAGAAGAAGAAAAAATCAAACTTAACCTACAAGTCATAAGCACAGTGGAAATAAACATTTTATTAAAAAAAAGTTATAACAATGACTGTTATCACTGATGAGGATGCCCTACTTTTATTAATAAATACATATATGATAAAGAGGATAGATAGTGCTAACGCGGAAGTAGATCAGGAAAAATTTATTGAATGTGTTCAAAAAATATTCAGTGAAAATAATTTGAGTTATTCTAGAAAGCAGATACTTACAACATGGAAACAGTTGTTAGAATCTTATTATCACTTCAAAGAAAATTTATCCTCAGAACAGACAAGTGAAGCATGGTCAATATTTTCTGTTATGGACAACTGTTTTGATGAATCCACAAGTACAAGTGAGAAGTTTTCTGATCCAAATATGACCATGCATCTGATTGAGTATATGAGTGAATACAAAGAAATTATATTGAACCATGGACTAAACATGACTGTACTACGTAACGTGGAGAATAAATTTCAACATTTGAAGAATAACACTATAAATCAGAAAGATATTTATGTTCAATGGAATAATTTGGAAATGTGTTTTGAGGATAGAGAAAAACAAATTCAACCTCAAAATTTTCACCATAGGTTTATAGAAGCCATGAAATTTTATATTTATAATACTGACTCACAGAATTATTACAGTAGTAAGATTTCAAAGAGGCCTATGGGTAAAAATCAGTGTGTTACAAAGAGAAAATTTAAGAAACGCCTTAATAAATATATGCAGAAGGAAGTGAATAATCTCCATACTATTTCTTCAGAAACAATGAGTAGTTCATTTTCCAGAATTGGCAATAAAGAACAAATAAATACAAAAAGAAACGAGTATGAAGGTACTTCAAAGTCCACATTGGCAGTACTTGGAGAATATTCCAAACATACTAGTGAAAGTAGTGCTGATATAAATCACTGTGAGCCTCTGGAAAACAAAGAAACTGGATCTGTCAGAAAAGAAGAAAATACTTTAATAAAAGGAAATGGAGGTGTAAATGGAATTTTGAATAAATATGAAAATAGATATAAAGAACTGGCAGAGCTGAAGGAAGTTGTTATAGAAAACAATCTCTTGAAAAAAGAATATAAATATTTACTCAATTTATTCTCAGATAAAATGAAAACCAAGAGACTATAAGTTAAAATAAATTAAATAACTAATAATTTGTAAGTTCATCAAACGTTAATGTTCAAATTTTCATTAATGTCAAAAAATTATCACATTTTTCATTGAGTTCCATTTCCATTATGAGTAAATAATTATTTTTGACCTCTTTTCAAGATTAGAGGGTTTTCGAATTTTTAAACCAAGATATATTAATGAGAAGGTTGATTGTTCTGGATACCATTTTATTTTTCAAAAATCAAGAAGGCCACAAAATTCTGATTCTATCATTCGATATTGAAATATTTAATAATGAAATTGTATTCTGTTAAATCTTCGTAGGCGGTTTAACCGATGAAAACTGTTGGAAACGCATATTATGACTGTCAGTAGAAGAGACAACACTGCTCATATCACAATGACAATACATATACACATTCATAAGGTACTTAATTTATACAGTTTTTTTTTTAAATTGATCTCTTTAAAAATATTCGAGTTTCAATTTAAAGGGCAGCTTCATTTTATCAATAAATTATTACTTATGTTTAGCAGCCGGGCGCTATACTCTAGGTACTTCAAGGTCACAATTGGTTCCGCCTCTTTTGGCTTCCTTTCCGCATTGCAATGTTGAGAGATGATTTGTATTTTGTATATTTCTCAGTGATATGTTGATATTCTCTTTTATGTATATCACCATGTTCTGTGTATATGTTTAAAATCTGTTCTTCCATTATCCAGCTGTCGTCCCAGATGAACAACAATCCTCAAAAGTCGAAACTTGTGCAAGCTATGATTTAACGAGATCTTACCTTTTAATGTGGAGTTTTCTAGCACAGGTTGGAAGATGTCGATTGTCCGGTATCGCAGCTTGAACCAGCGTTTCAGCTGACGGTCAATTGAATGAGTGGAACAAACCACTCGTGCCAACCCACGCTAAGCTACCTCTCTGGTCGAGAGATCCATGAATTCCTTATTACAATAACCTCCTGCTTGAGATGAAACAAAGTGAATCTTTTGGGAAAGAAAGTTTTTGGCTTTCTACTACTCCATCTGATACAAAAAAATGGATGAGAGAATCTTCCAAAGAAAGGAAGGATTAATCAATTTGAAAATCAAATTGAGAGAATCTTCCAAAGAAAGGAAGGATTAATCAATTTGAAAATCAAATTGATTCCAAAGAAAGGAAGGATTAATCAATTTGATTTTCAAATTGATTAATCCTTCCTTTCTTTGGAAGATTCTCTCATCCATTTTTTTGTATCAGATGGAGTAGTAGAAAGCCAAAAACTTTCTTTCCCAAAAAATTAATCACTCCTAAAAATATAACCCTTTCAAATCAAAGTGAATCTATTATGACATTCAAAAAAGGACTTACTAGTCATTTGAAGATACAACATCCACATTAACATTGATATTATAATAACATATATATCTAGTATTTATAATTTACATTGTTATTTTGTCTATTTATTGAATGCTTGGATAATTCCGAGCATACATATTTTAGTGTTATGAAGTTGGACTGCGACTTTGTCTATTCAATTTTAAAATGTTTTTGTATATTAGGATACCTATTTGAAAATAAATATATATTATTAATTCTAAAAACAATGACTTCACAATAGTCACATCTAAAAGATATTTAAGGTGTTTTATAGAGACCCATTCCTAATACATAATGACGTTAGTGTCAATTTGGAAATTTCAGGCAGTTTAATAAATATTTGAAGATGTAATATGTATGTATTTTTCTTACCTAAAAGACCAGCAAATTAAAAAAATACTACAAAGCAGATAGCCGCTAAGATTCAACTTTTGAATGAAACTGGAAAGATGATATTTTTACAAGTAGTTTACTCAATGAAGAGTCGAATTCCTTTTCTATCGATAATTTTCTTATAAAAAACTTCTGCAAAAATAGTTCAAACTTAATTTGTGAAAACATCAACTTATTATTACTAATTTAGCTCCAGCTACGAGGTGGAGTGAGAAAGACGTTTTGTCATTGATGTATATTTTATAAATATATACGTTTCCTGTGTGTATTTATGAATCTGTGAAAAATCTGTCAATTTGTTAAAGTCTGTTGTTCCGTTTACCAGCTGTCTCTCTCCTATGAACGACAACTCTCAAAAGCCGAAACTTGTGCGAGCTAAGGACTAATGAGGTCTTACTTTTTAACGTGTGATTCTTAACACGGGTTGGACGATAAGAAGTGAAAATCGAATGTCTGGCCTTGCGGTCCGAACCATCGGTCGATTGACTTAGTGGAGCCGACCACCCACGTCAACCTACAAGGCTACCGTCTTTCCAATATTCAGATATGTTTATTAATATGATAAGGAAATTGATTCACTTCAGTAATTGATTGATTTTCCCTCCTTTGTTCATCAAAAAGAATACTAATTTGAGAAGCCATTCCAAATGTATTTCAAAATAGTCATGACAATGGACGTCTTGTTAATACAGCAGTGAACTTGTGTCTGTTCATTCCTGATTTTTTTTTATCCAATTTGTGGATGTATCAGCAGAAATAAAACAAAATGTATTTAGGTATATCTTTATTCAACATGTATATGTAACATATAAATATGGAAATATTTTTATTGATATATTTGATGCCAAACAAAAATTTTTATTGTTTTTGATTGAAAATATGTATCGACTTCAAACATCAAATATAAAAATATACGCACCTACATATACTTTCAATAGTTGTGAGTAAATAGTTCAAAATACCTGATAATTCTAATTAGTGTGTATAATGTTGGAGTTCTCAAAAACGAGAGATAGAAGCTAGTTAAAGTATATCCAATTAAAATATTTTTCTTCATTGTTTTTAAAAGCACAAAAAGTCCCTCAATATTATTTTTATAAAAATGTTACATGGCAAAACATTAGCCAATCAAAATTAATTACTGTTTACTTCTGAATATTCTAAATATATCGTCAATATTATGTGACACTTTATCATTTTTTGCAACTGGAGATGGGATGATAGCCCTAATTTTTATTACAAACCAAGAAAGTTTAGACATATGAAACTGATCACAAAAAAGTAGGTTAGTTTGTATCTTTCAACTGTTTTTAATATCCCCATACAGAATACACACTTCAATTAGAAAAATCAAGAATAGATTTACATAAGAATTGTACAAAACTAAGTATATTGATTGTCTCAAAATTATAAAAAATATATATATATATGTAAAAGTCTGGTTTTCAAATAAAAAAATAACTAGAAAAAAATCACATAGAAAAACCTATAGATATGTCATAATAAACAGAACGATAAAAAGTTATGTGTATTTATCTTCCGTAAAACCCAACAAAAATTACAAAAATAAGTGCAAACATATTTTGTGGCACACAGTCTTTTATACAATAAAGTTACTTACAAAATGAATTAAAATAACAAGTACAGTTCATTATAAATTTTTTTTTCATAAAGACAATTCATGTAATATATTCCAAAAGTTTATTGAAATTATTGATAAAAAATGTGACTGGTCTTTTAATGAACTGAATTACAGCCTGATTCAGTTGGATAATTTCAATACATTTTATTAGAATAATTAGAGTAGAAGAAAAACCAAAGCCCTTGCTTCGATATATAAAACTCATTAAGGTATTCATTTTATGAAGTTTGAATTTGATAAATTAACACTGAATCATGCTGTATCAACTTGTCTTATGAATTGTATAATGTAAACTTACAGTAAGAGATATAGAAAAAGTATATATCATGTATGTATATGATTTTAATATAAAATCAGTATTATCATTATAAATTTGGAACCACTAGGTGTTATTTCTTACATCATATTAAAAATACATTTAAATATGATAAATGGAATAAGGAAATTGTAAAGTTTGGCAACAGCTCCACTTATTTATACTGTAAATAAAGGAAACTGACTAATTCAGATCATGTCACTATTATAAAAGTAAATTTGAATTTGAGATTCAAAATGCACAATTACTGTACTCGTAGTATAAGAAGCCAACTGCATTATTTAAAAACCCAAATCTGGGTCACCATTAACTTACTCAAGTACTCTATGTCATAAATTAACTGAAGATCTTGAAAACGAAGTTGTGACTAGAATCTGGTAAGAGTAGGTTTATGAATGTGTGAATGACCAACATTAGATACTTTCTTTGGATTATTTCAGGGGAACTTGGGCTTTGGAAATGGGTAAAAAATAGTTGCATAAGAGCTGGCGTATAAATTTTGAAAAAATTTTTTTACACGTGATAAGGAGTAATTCACAAGTATGTTATTGAAAAAATTCAAACTGACATTCGTGTACATGAAATACCCTGCATATTATATCACACTTTAAAGTAACACGACAAGTTCTTATATAAAATTTAGAATACAGTTACTTGAAAAAATATGACTTAATTCATACAAAAATTATTCACTAGATTTTTTTTACCACGTCTTTGTTATACTGAATATAATGAAGTATGAAATGTTAAATTGTAACCAGAGAGGTAACAAAGATGATAATGTAGGATATGGAATAAAGATTATATAAGAGTATATATGGGATAAAGATTATATTAGAGTATATATTGATAATATATTCAAGCTGCATTACAGAAGAAATTGATAGAAAATTTGAAAATCTTTTTGCTGGGTTAAGATAATATAATAATGCAGTTAGTATTATATGCCCACACAAAAAAGTTTTGGCACCTATACAAAGTTTGATGTATGCCATCTTGTCGTGGTTTTGTAATATGACATGTGAAAATGTTAAAAAGTTTTGTTGAATAATTTATCAGGGGATTTTAACGAGTAGCTGTCATTTCTGATATTTCGAAACCCACTTCAATATAGATATTTCTTCATTACCTTTAGAATGTAAACTTTTTAGCTGACTGTGATTAAAAGTTAATATGAAGTAGTTATATTTTTTCATAAACGATACTCACAAACAAAACAAGAATTACTGAACATGCTTGAGAAAAATATTCCTTAATAAACATAGTTAACCCACTTCTATTCATTTCAATAGACTTATTAGTTCTTGTCTTGTTACTGAAAGTAGAAATTGATATCCCCACAACATTTACATCAGAAGACGCAATGCTGGATTCCAACATCCTTTTTATACAACTTCTCATGCAAGATCCTCCTTACAAAAATGAATAAAGCATCATATTTTTGGCAATCTTAGTTATTTTTTTATCAAAACAATCAAGTAACAGCTTTGTCATATGAAGGCGGGGGGGAATCTCTTATGACCTGTATGGAATCCAGATCATTCTGGGGACTTAACATCACTGCTATGTGATATGGAGGTGGTGGCAATTCTGCAGAATTTTGGGACAAGGAAGTAGAAACCTGCCGATGCCGATTTTCTTCACTTTCTGTTTGCTACAATAGTAAATAAAGCACTAAATGTCAATACCTGAACAGACAAAACAGATACACTATTATGAATGGACTGACCCATTACTTGATAAAAATAACACTATCCGTGATAATAATTACAAAATTTTCACAAACATTTTCATTTCCAGACGCGTTTATGATAGAGGAAATATTGAAAACCTTTAGATTTGTCATTGTTATTTTCTATTAGAACCACTTAAAAATTATATAATAATTTTAAAACTTACCCGTTCAGCTACCTGCAATACAGGAGCCTCAACATTTGTATTGGTTGGTGAGTAGGAGATAACTGCTTCACACAAAGATATCAAACCACCTATTATGAGAACCACTACGAGAAGTGAACAAAATGCCAAAACCTCTACACCGATATTGATCTGAAATTATAAAGCAAATGAAATTTCTTATTATATGTGATTCAAGTATTTATTCTACAGAGTGTTTCAAATTCGATCCTCACCATTGGGATCTCGGAAACTATGAGAGATACAAAGATGGTTACACTACTGCAAAGTTGCGCATTTACCTGACTAACAATATGCCATTGAGAAAGTTCTGAAATTCCGAGTATATCCGGAGGTATCAAAAAAAAAACAGAAATTTCGGAAAATGGTTTTCATTTTTTTTCTGGCTTTAGTTTTCGAAACATTTGAAAATAAATTGCACTTCCATTGCTACTTTTTCCCTGCTACATTATGTTGCAGGTTCAGATTTGCTATCCGACGTTTCGTCTTTGGGCCACCATCATAAACTTTATTTTTTCTTATGGATTCTTTCTGTTTTGAATAGAACCAGATTTTACCTTTTCAATGATGTATCATTCTTTTTCGAAAAATTGGAGATATTGAAAAAAAATAATTCTTATCATAATAGGCTTTGACTTTGATGTTTTTAAATTTGACTTTCAATTTGTTACACTCATGAACATTTTGTTATTTTACAAATCATTGAATTTTTGGCAAATAATGGCTTTCACGAATGAAGAAAAAAGAGATATGATACAAATTTATTACAAATACGATAGAAACAGTGTTAAGACATCGGAAATGTATTTAAACTTGTATCCCGAAAGATGACAACTACATCGATTTATGTTCAAGTTATTGGATCAAAATCTCACCGAGTTTGGTTCATTTGAAAAACCGAGGAAAAAATACGGAGACAGAATGGACCAAGAAAATAAGGAAAATTTGATAAATGAGGTATGTATGAGGTAAGATCGTGTCCTTTTCAATAAAAGTTAATAATAAATAAGTTAATAAACCCGGGGAAATCTACACGTCAAATTTCCTCTGAAATGAATATTTGTCATACAAGTGCTTGGAGGCATCTCAAAAAAAGCGGTTTAAAATGTTACAAAATACACATATATGCAGATCAAACAAAAAACAAAGGGAATATTTTATCCAGATTAAAGGTAAATTAGAGGAACTGAAACAAGCAAGACACACCAACAAAACAATAAAGTACATAAACAATATATCAACAATTGTCCAACAAACCAGAAAATTTCAGCAGCTTATCCTAATATTCAGTACCATACAGACATAATATACATTTATGCACAGAGTTTTATCGCCTATAAGGATTAAATTAATGAAGAACTTATTTGTTATAATCCAAAAATACTACTCCTAAGTGAAACCCAGACAACGGAAGACTTTGCGGAAGTAGAATTGAATATGAAAAATTACAACTTAATAAGATGTGATTCAAAAAGCCGTCATACAGGTGGAGTGCTAATGTATGTAAGACAAGGTATTATCGTAACGAACACTAAAATAACTATTGAGGAGTATAAATATTGGTGTGGCATGATACAATAACTATTAATATTAGAAGTAACAACAGATCAGTAAATGTAGTTTCAAAAATGTACAGAAAACTTAATATAGATAATTTTCACATGATAAATTTGAGATTGATGGATTGCAGTTAGTCAACAAAATGCTTAGATGTAAACACTACTTTTGATAAAATGTCAAAAATTACAAAAAAGTTGTTAATGAAATTTGCTCAGTAAAAACATTTGAAAATACTAGAAATATCTTACCTTGGGTACGATGAAGAAATACATTTAAAGGCAAAAAATCGTGATAATGCTTATAAAAAATTTAGTCAGTGTAGTAGAAACATGAAGGGAAAACAAAATCTTTGGAATACCTACAAAATATGTATAAATGAAGTTAATAACAGTCTTAGATTGAAGAGAAAACGTTATTACGAAAATGCGATTGATTCCCATTATGCAGATTGTAAACAAATGTGGAAAACTCTAAAACAGTTGATTTGAAATGAAAATCTTGCATTTACAAATACAGTCATGAAATTTGAATTTAGAGATAGAGTAGTGATTGCGTAATTAGAAAATGATATTGCAAACTGTTTCAATGAATATTTCATATCCAGTGTAGGTGATATAATTGATACCATAAATTATCATAAGGAATGGTCCGCCAATCATCTCCCAGAAATAAAACTAACCTTGAAAACTTTAGTAAAATAAGTATAAAGGAACTTAAAAATATAATTGGTACCCTGGAAAATAAAGGTAATATACATGTTGTTATGAATGGTCAAATAATAAAAAATACCATTGACACTTGTGGTTTTCACCTATTAAATCTTATTAACACACCCTTTTCAACAGGAATATTTCCAAATGAGCTGAAAATATCCATTATAATACCGATTCCAAAAGTCAAAAAAATTCAAATGATGCAATGAATTTCAGACCAATCAACACGTTACTAGATGTTGAGAAAGTAATTGAAAGAGCAGCATATAACCAACTCATTGAACACATAAATATTAACAATATTTTCTTAGGGAACCAGTCAGGTTTCCGTAGTAAATATTCTTGTGAAACAGCCTTACAACTGACAATTACTAGTTGGAACCAATTGATGGATAAAGGAAAGTATATCGTGGCAGTGTTCATTGACCTAAAACGAGCATTTGAAACAATAGATAGAGGTATTCTAGTGCAGAAATTAAAAACATATGGAATTAAATAAGCTGCTTTGAAATGGTTGGAAAGCTACCTGAGTGATAGAAAACAGATTGTGAAAATAAATAACCATTTTTCTACTACAAGGCAGATAAATATAGGTGTCCCATAAGGTAGTGTAATTAGACCTTTACTATTTATACTATACATGAATAACATCAACTGCTCTGTTAATTGTGAATTTATTATTCTTTATGCAGATGATACTCTGTTGGCAGTTAGTGGTGATTGTGTGGAGACTTCTGTTCAAAAAATGAATGAAGAATTAATTAAACTTGAAAAATACTTGGAGGGAAATAAGTTGAAACTTAATATACAAAAAACAAAAGCTATGATCATTTCTGATTACAATAGTACAAAAAATATAGATAAAGATAACATAACTTTAATTATAGAAAATACAAAAATTGAAATTGTAAAACAATTCAAATATCTTGGGGTTGTATTGGATGAAAATTTAACATATAAGGAACACTTTATCAATACAGAAAAAAATTTCTAAAAAACTCTTTTTCTTCTCAACAATAGCTGCTCACATATCGTTGAAAGCAAGATTGACAGTTTTTAATAGTATCATTAAACCACATTTTGACTATTGTTCTACAATACTATTTCTATTAGACAATAACAGGAAAGCTTCTCTACAAAAACTTCAAAATCGTGGGATGAGATTAATCCTAAAATGTAATAGATATACTCCAATAACCCATATGTTAGAGACTTTACAGTGGCAATCAGTAACCAAAAGGTAGACTATCTCAACAATGATCTTCATTTTTAAAATTTTCAAAGGTTTAATGCCAACTTATTTCAAACAATTCATCAAGTTTAATCATGAGGTCCATGAATACTGTACTAGAAATGCAAACAATTTTCATGTAGATAGAGCTAATACCAGAAAAGGTATGAACTCACTATTCATTCAAGGTTTAGTTGAATATAATTCCCTTCCAAATGAAATTAAAAAATGTGATGTATCGTTTAAGAAAATTCTCTCAAAATATCTGTGATTGTTATGAATGTAGTTATATTGTATTATAGATTTTCAGCTGAATTAAGTCAGTTATTGTATAGTTTTGATATTTGTATTATCTCAATCTTACTTTGTTTATTGTTAATAATGTATTTTGTTATAAATTTATACATGGATTCATTCATTGTATTATGTTTTGATATAGTATTTACTTAATAATCATTTATTGTAGAATTATAACTTTGTATTGTGAATATTAGGATTATTCCTATTCAATAAAGACTACTTACTTACTATATCTCAAAAATTGCATCCAGGTGATCCCGAAAGGTGATTAGAATTTTGTAATTGGCTAATAAGAAGACCTGATTATCCAGTTTTCCTGAAAAATGTTATTTGGACAGATGAAAGCACTTTTACGTGATAAATAGTTAGGGAATAATGGGCCAGTGAGGTGGCCAGCAAGGTCTCCAGACTTAAGTGTTATGGATACTTTATGGGATACACTGAAAAATAGAGTTTATGGTCAGAGGGAATATCAAAATATGGAGGACCTTCAACACAGCATTGTCAGAGAGTTTGGAAGATTGAGGAGGAGGGAAATTAGAAATTAATCGTGCAGTGAATAATATTCGAAAAAGGGCACAGTTGTGTTATCATGAACAAGGCCAGCATTTTGAGTATTTGCTGTGATTTACTTTTCTATTTTCATTGAAAAGGACACAATGTCTAATTTACTTCATACACACCTCATTTATCAAATTTTGATTGTTGATTCTGTCTCCGTTTTTTTTCATTGGCTTTTCAAACGAACCAAACGAGAAATTTTGATCTAATAACTTGAACATAGTTCAATTTGGTTGTCGTCTTTCAGGATACAAGTTTAAATACATTTCAGATGTCCTAATACTGTTTCTATCGTATTTGTAATAAATCATATATATTTTTTCTTTATTCGTGAAGTCAATTTTCGCCAAAAATGCAATGACTTGTACAATAACAAAATGTCATTGAGTGTAACAAATTGAAAGTCAAATTTAGAAACATCAAAGTCAAAGCCTATTATGACAAGAAATAATTTTTTTTCAATATCTCCAATTTTTCTAAAAAGAATGATAACTTATGATACATCATTGAAAAGGTAACATCTGTTTCTTTTCAAAATAGAAAGATTCCAATATAGCGCAAATAAGAAAAAATAAAGTGATGATGGTGGCCGAAAGACGAAACGTCAGATAGAACATCTGAAAACACCATTATGTAGCAGGGGAAAAATGGCAATGTGAAAGTGCAATTTATTTTTGAATCCTTCGAAAAATAAAGCCAGAAAAAATATAAACCATTTTCTGGAATTTCTGTTTTTTCCGGATATACTCAGAATTTCAGAACTTTCTCAACGGCATATTGTTAGTCAGATAAATGCGCAACTTTGCCACAATTTAACCATCTTCGTATCTCTCACAGTTTCCGTGATCCTAATGATGAGGATCGAATTTGAAACGCCCTGTATAGTATCACCAGACCCTTTTTTCTACACGTCATTTTGAATCCAATGAGTTGTATTTTCAGAAGTTTCATGTCTATTCAACACACATTTCAACTTATGAACAGACTATTATTGAGATTATGCCACATAGCAACAAAATAGCTCAAATCCTAGTCTCAACTATTTTTAAATGAAAAAAATGAAGCAAATTTAATTTTTTTCAATGAAAACAATTCAATAAAGCACACATTAATCTATGTATTTTAAAAATGGGCATTTTGAAAAATCTCACGCGAGATTTGGGAGAGGGATTGAGTCGGGCCAAAACTCACATCTCGCTGAGAGGAAGAAGTAAAAAAAGTGATAAAAGTACCTCAAAACACAAAAAACTACTAATCTGCAGGCTTACCCCATGGAAGTAATATTTAGCTACAGCTAGAAAGAAAGTAACCAATGCAAAAAAAATCCACACTCCGCATTTCATTCTGGATGTAGGTGAAACATTGTTTCTAATTGTAGCAGTGTGTCCTGGTGCAATCATTTCCAAGGATCTGCCAACATGAGGTATACGAATGTTACCGCTAGACCCACTAAAAATGAAAAAATTAAATTTTAAACACCTCTGATGATCTGCAATCAAATATTCTATTCATGTCAAAAATTTCTCAAATTTAGTAATCATTTTAACATATCCACATTTTCTACTTGTTAAAAAAAAAACTCATTTTGAATCATAAGAATTACTTTTTATACTAGCATATTGTGCTCTCACTTTTACTGTTTATTATAGCATTTATTCTTTTAATAACATAGTTACATTTGGTACTGAAAAATCGTCGAAGTGTCGTGAACAGTTACGTTTGAAAAGTAATCGAAAACAATCTCTCATTATTGAGTAATAATCGAATGAATTAATAATACTGTTGTTCCAAGTACAAGGAAGTGCTCTTTTTGCTGGGTAATAAAAAACAGGTCACAATAAAAAGAAAGTGATTTCAGATATCAATTCTCCAGTGGCGTGCCTCATATTATTATATCTGGATCAAATATATATAAAAATATAAATAAATGTTTTCGTTGTAAAAAAGATGTGGAGGAAGATAAAACTTCATTTAGATGTGACGGATGTAAAAGGCTTTTACATCTATCCTGTGCCAATGTCACCTCCACGGAATTAAGATGTCTTCAACTGGTTACTGAAACCAGAAAATTGAAATTCTTTTGTAATGAATGTGAAAAAGGTTTCTCACTTATCCCTACCTACGAGTAGAAGTTGATAAACTGAAGGAGACAAACAAGCAAAATTTAAAAGAAAGAGATAAACAAATTGAAATCTTGAATGAAGAGATAGAACAGTTGAAGCAAGAGAAAGATCCAAATTATTCGTGGAAGGAAATACTGGATGAAATGAATAAGACGATGAATCAGGTGAACAATGTAATGGTTTACAATGTTCCTGAGTCTACATCAGCGAGTTTAACTGAAAGGATTGAAAATGATAAAACTGAAATCCAAAAGGTTTTCACCATCATAGAGACGGAAGAGTTGACAAATGACATTGTGAAGGTAATACATATTGGAAGAGCAGGTGGTAATAAGCCATGTCCCATCAAATTAGTGTTCTCTAATAATAATGCGGTCAAAGACTTACTGAACCACAAGAAAAAGTTGCATAACTCTCCGATGATCAAGATAAATAATGATCTTACAAAAATGCAAAGAAAAGTAAATACAGATACGTGGAATGAATTCAAACAAAGGAAAGACAGTGGGGAAGATATCTTCATAAGATATAGAAACGGCATGGCAGTTATAGAGGAAAACAAAGGTAGAAAAAACTAAATACACCTCCATTACGAGTCTACTATCAAAACGTTGGTGGAATACGTACTAAAATCCAGGAACTACATTCCCCCCTCAATCACCGGAAAATATTTATGAAGAGCATTGTATAACAATAGAAAATGTTGTTAATACTCATCGAGGGCATAATATTCTTGTTTTTGGTGACTTCAATCTACCGGAAGCATTGTGGAATAACAATGCTTCGGGGGTAACAGTAAAGTGTCCTGTCAGATCTAATGCTTTGTTACTAGCAGAATCATATGGTTATTTAAATTTTTTTCAAAAAAAAACGGTATTCCTAATAATAGAAACGTGTTTTTGGATTTATGTTTCACTAATTTAAATGATCTGGAAATATACTCGGCTACAGATAATATTTTAGCTAACAGCTACCATCATATTGGTTACACCTTCAATGTTACTGTACCAATTTCTTCAAAATCTCTAGAATACAGTGAATTTTATAATGATTTTAGAAATGCTGATTACATAGGTTTAAATAATTATTTTGCAGGAATAGATTGGGAAAGCTGTTTAAATTTCTCGAATGTAAATGAAGCATTAGAATCTTTCTACCATATTTTCAATATGTCTATGTCGTTGTTTGTTCCACGAAAAAAGTTTAAAACTTCTACATATCCTAAATGGTTTAATGCAGATCTAAGATATCTTATAAAAGAGAAAAAAATGGCCCATAAAACTTACTTGAATTTTCGTGATGATAGAGACTATATAATTTTTTCAGACCTTAGAAGGATATGCAAGAACTTATCTGAGACTTGCTTCAGAAATTATGTGAATCAGCTCAATCAATCTATATATACCAATCCGTAATCTTTCTGGAATTATTTTAATAATAAAAGGGCTACAAATTAAATACCGGACACAGTAAAATATGGGGCTGAGATTGGAACCAACAGCAAGCAGATTGCAGACTGTTTTGCAAACTTTTTTGTTACTGTGTATTCTTCTTCTGAAATATCCAATGAGCACAACTTAAAGATCAATCCTGACAAATCTAAAGTACTATATTTTGGAAAATTGATGATAAAATTCTTTTAAGAAATAATATGACACTGAAAATTGATAATAATATACTCAAAGCTAGTGATTTCGCTAGGAATCTTGGTTTAGTTATGGATACAGACTTACGTTTCTCTCAACATATAAATAATCTCGTCAGTAAAGCGTTTTTATCCCTCAAACTGATCTATAGTAATCGACACGTTTCAAGTATTAAAATAAAAAGAACCTTGTGTGAGTGTCTAGTTTTGAGTCATTTCAACTATTAAGATTTCATTTATGGTCCCTGTTTAACTAAAGATGATAGAAATCGGATACAAAAAGTGCAGAATAGTTGTTGCAGACTAATTTATGGAATACGAAAATATGACTCCATCTCCCATAAACTCAAAGAGTGCAACTGGCTGAACATGGATAATCGACGGCAACTCCACTTGGGTTCATTCACACATGGACTCCTAAACAAGTCCAACCCACCAGCTCTATTGCATAAATTCATTCCACGTTCTAGAATACATTCAAAAAATGTCAGAAACAGATCTGCCCTGACCATGCCCCAGCATAAAACTGCGATATTTCAACGATCTTTTATTTTTAACTCCATTCGAATGTACAATCTTCTTCCTGAACAATTCAAGTTATATAACATAAATAAATTCAAATATAAATTGAAGAACTATTTATTACTCACACAATGATGTAATATAGCAAATTCTGATAATTTACATTTTACCTTTTAATTGACTGCAATTATTCAGGCTAGTAAGTTTTCAATAATGTATATGTGATGGTGATTAACCTGTATAACTTATTTATGTTTACTGCGCCACTCAATTATTTTTGTAATCCACTAAGTACAGCCATTTANTCTGGACCCAACAAAATCAAAGTCTGTTTCTTATGTTGAATGAACTATGGCTCATTGATTAATGGTCTCAATCAATATAACTTCAAAAGGCTTTTAATGAATTTGCTCATATACCTTGCAGAACCCAGTTGTTATACCCCGCCATAAGCCAGGCCAAAATAGAGTGAAAATGTGATTAATGCTTGAGGAAACTTTATTTCTCATTCCTATGTTATCACTTGAAATTGAGTTCTTATTAATAAAAACACCATCAATGTGTCAGTGGCAAAGTTACACTATACACTTACGTTTATGAGTAGCTCAAGACCAAGACCTTAGTAAGGCATTTGATTCTAGTTACTACTGTTTGAGAAACACCGTTAAACTGTTCATTCTCATATCTTGAGATTTGAAAATAATTAGTATTGGAGAACAACAAATCTGAGATATAAAAATGGGAGTAGCACCGGGATCGATATCAGGCCCAGATTTGTTCATAATTTTACTAAACAATATCAAGTTAACATGTAAAGATGCACACACAGATGATACAACTTTGATAGTATCGGCAAAAACTTGGAAAGAGAAGTGAATACATTCAATACTGTTGCCAATCAATCGGTTTACTCTTTGATAGTGCTTTTCATCCAGAATACAATGGCAAAAAAATTTCAAATCGATAGCATTTAGCAGTATCAAGATACGCGATACTGAAACTGCATGTTTGTCCAAAACTAATTTGACGTCACGAGTGTATTGATATGTAATAGATAAAATTTTGTCTATCCTGTTCATTAATAAATATAAATAAATTTGTTATTATCACTTTGAAATAAGTGTGATGTAATTAAATTAAAAATTATCCTTGCAACAAACACAAGTTCACTTAAAGTTCTTTCTCAACATAGCTGTTTGAAGACCTATTATTTTTTTTTTCATTTTTATATAAAATGAGAAACAAAATTTTCTGTTTTTTTACCGCTTGTATTTGTAACTAACGTTACTGCAGTTTCGTCCTATAAGGATATTTTCAAATGAATACATTAAAACTGGAAATAATTAATAATGTTAGCCCTTATATATGTAAGTAATAACAGAGGTACTTGACTTAATTTGAGTACCTGAATTTTGTTTACCTGTGATAATATGGGTAAGCTAATTTGAACCCTTGCTTGCATAGTGCAAAATTTCCGCATCGTTCAGATTGTGGTTGCATTCCAAGGAATGGTTTGAAAACGTCATTTTTATCTAGTCTGAAGGACCTTTCATGTATGATATATTACATTAATATTTCATAATTGTTTACAGGCTTTGTTTAGAAAAATGTAATTTCTTGGACAATAAAGCATATTATCTCTCTCCCACTCTCTTTCTCTCTACTGAGACTTCTTTTTGCTAATACTGAATTTTTCTAATTATTCTTGTGATGTGAAATGAAGGAGTTTCTTGACACATTACATAAAACATGTGGCTTTCTAACAGTGTGGGTGTAGTTTTATATTTGTATGGTTGTACTTTCTATGTTCCAAAGATATTTTTCATCTGCCTTCTTTAGGTATTTTCACCTTCCACAATTTTTATGTTTCGAAGACTAAAATCTGCCTCCGTCTTCAGAATTGAAAAAATGTAAGATTTTAGCCTCCGAAACGTTAAAATTGTGGAAAGTTTAAATACCTAAAGAAGGTGGATAAAAAACTCTTGATATCCTACACAAAAAATTACTTTTATTCGATACCAAAGAAATTATTACTGAATAATTAGAATCAGTGATATAATGTTAGAAATTTAATGCTTACTTATAATGTACAGATGAAGACGGTGATTGTGCTGGCAATCTGGCATGATATCCTGGAGACCTATTATTTCGTAATCCATTGTTGGCCACACTTTCAATGGACTGAAATCTGTGTACCGGAGTTACCATCGGTTTAGGATAGAAACTACCACATAAATTTCGTTGATTTCGCCCGTACCCTAAAAATGAATGAAATGAAAATCCTGAAATAACCCTTAGGACCCTTCACAGCTGTAATTTCCATTTAAAAAACAATATATAACTGATTGGTTTTATAATAGTCATTTCAGTGAATAAGACCATCTGATCAGAGTAATGTCAAATGTAGAAATCAAAATTAGGCTGAACATTCTGAATTGGCAGTTTCAAATATTTTTGGAAATATATATTTAACTTTACTCTCAAGATCTTATTAATGATAAAGTTTTCGCTTTATTCCTAGTACCTCAAAATTGGAAAAATTGGATGACAGAGTTAAATTTCCAAGTAGGTATGTTATTCGAGATTTCCTAAAGTAAAATGTATAATGCAGGTCAGTAAAATGCTGACTTGGGAAAACAGTATATATTTTGTCAGAAAAAAATTAAAACTGTAGTTTACAAATATGATGGACAAAAATGTTAAATTATGATTGGATATGTAATGGATATGGATATGCAATAAATGTAATGAGCAACTGACGAATTAATATAACATTATTAGTTAGCTTTATTGAAATTATCTCACCAATATTTAAAAAAAAATTATTGAAGAATCGCAATATTTTTTCAAAATTAAAATATCAACATATTTTAAGAAAAAAATAGGGATGATATCCAGCACTTTACCTGAGACTGAAAAAAAAAAACTTTGAAAGAAAACACTAATAAGGAGTACACATCTAGTATCAAGACTTCCAACAATAAACTATTTTGTTGCCAAAGTTCTTTGGCCAGTCTTAATCCAGTATTCATTTCAGCAATTTGGTATAGTAGTATATAATTGTTACTGACACATCAAGAGAATTTATTCTAGAAATTATTAGAAGAATAAAAATTACTTAGAAATGGCAAAGATGGAAAATAAATTAGTAGCTTCCTCCCAGTTATACAAGTTATGCCAGAGTTACTTATAATAATCAGATCACTATTTAATGAATGTGTCAGTTATTTAAAAAAACCTATAGACTTGCCACTAGGAATATACATCTATTGTGAATGCACGCACAATAGCCAACGTACCAGATATTGATGGTGGTACCTGCCGACGAGCATTAAATCCACATCCTTGACTCCTTTTATCAATCCAAAAATGCATGTGTAATTTTTCAAAAAAAATTATGATTCCCTGACATAAAAATTATTTGTCATTTTTGTTTTAAAATATTATAGAATATTATTATTATCCTAAAAAGTTAGTATACTTTCCAACGTTTAACTAACCAATTACCAAAATACAAAATGTATACTTGTTTCTCGATTGTTTATTTTTTATTTGCCTCTTCTCTCAGTCTCTCACCCTTCGTATGACCAATGACAAATTTGCAGACCCAATGTCAAAATTATCTTCTTCTTATTTTTATTGAAGGGGGCCCCGAATACAGACTGTGCCCAAAATTTGGTACGAAGCCTGAAGGGGGCCATTTCGTTGCCATTTTAGGGGAAGCTGTTCATTTTTTGGAACATAGTTGTAATGTAATTTTCATCCTCTAGACAATATTTTTGTGTAAATGAACATTTGAATAAATGAATAAAAAACCCACTGAACTTAACTGATAAAAAACAAAATATTTGAATGTTTGCGACTACGATTTCTTATGGCGATAAAAACTATTTTAGGCATCTCCTGATGATGCTAATGCTAACGTGGTTAGTAAAACGCGGTTCGAGAAAAAAAGAACTCTAGTTCTGGTGAGTAGGAAAGTCGTTTTCATATCACATAATAGTAATAAATGTCTATAACTTCATTTACAAATAAAATGAATGAATGATGGGTAATGTCTTATAAGCTATGCCAAAAAGAACCATTACCTAACCTAACCTAACCTTACATAAAATTTGAACTTGATACCGAAAGATTGTTTTTTTGTGTTTTGTGGTTCAGTGTAATCTTTTTTGATATGAAGTACTTGAGTTGATTTGGGAAAACCGAATAGATGTATTAATGAATTGAATTTAACATTATTTTTTCACAACACAAATGAAATACATAGAACTGCGATATCTCATATATCATGTACAGTTCTTCATAATTTGAAAGATTAAATAAGATGGCTTTCAGAATGCACAAATGGTAAGGAGATATTTGTTTACTTTCACATCATCTATTCATGTGTTATAGATGTATTAAAAAATATATTTTGATTGAAGACATGTAGGCGTCCTTAATAGAATAAACATATGTAATATGTATGGTAAAGCATCTCCAGGATATGAATATATTTCAGTTTCATTCTTGCAATACAACTTGATATTGATAATCTAAAGATGTGAGTGATCTATTTATTATTGCATAAATTCAGGGCTATGTTTGTACAATTATTTGAATACTTTTATTATTTTATTGTGGTAGAAAACAGAAAAGAAAATAGATTCAATAATTATATTTATACAGTGTAAATATTTATAGAGTGGTTCTCTAGCTGACTTGTAGTTTCTTAATTTTACTACCACACAATGATATATTATACAACATTCATAATAACATCACATCATTTCCAACAATGTGATCAAGAACATCCGACTTCTAACTGCAAGCCCATGCTAAACTTTTAATGGATCATATGACACCTTTCAAAAATGTATGATTTTTATAATTCTGAAATACTTGTAAAATGAGTTTCAGGTTATGTGTCGTGTGTGCAGAGATGAAAACTGATACCTGTGTCTGAGGGTCAAATTTTATGACAAACTTGATGGTGAAAACCGCATATCAATATCTATCATTGTTTCTGAGTTACAGCATGTTTTTCCAAAATGCGCAGTAGCGCTGATAGATATCGATATGCGGTTTTCACCATTAAGTTTGTCATAAAATTTTACCATCAGACACAGCCCTCAGTTTTCATCTGTCTAGTTTGAAAACAGGAGTTTCCCTTTCAAAGTATCCATTTTGCCCACTCTGTACATATACACTTGAAATTTACAGTAGAATGGAATTTTAATCTTTCTAGTGATTTTAATTATTTATCAGTTTACAAATACACATGTACATATTTGGAAAACTTTTGCTAGTATTTGGAAGGTATAATTAATATCTAGAGATTTGATACAAATATAATGAGTTAATTTGGGTCAATTAAAGGGTTGAAAGATATTAAAATTTACTTTCTAGTCTCAATGTGAAGATTATATTATTACTTTTGAATTTCAGTTCACAATTAGGTAGACAACCTCTGACTTAGCACACAGTTTCATGTTTCTTGAATAGGAGCTGATTATCACTATTGAATGGAATAATGTTTTCCTTATGTTAATCATGGATTGTTATTTTTAGGCCGGCGTTAAACAAACAGTTTTTGATAGCCCTTTTTACGGGCTTAATTGCAGGATTTTTAACAGCTTACCTTGTTATGACACCTAAGATTTTAACCACTCTTACCGATCCTCACACAAGCAGTGAAATGGAATTTATGTTTGGACCGACTATAGATCCTGGCACTCACTCAGATAATGAAGAATTTCATATGATGGAAGATGCCACTGTAGCTAATAAATTATATGAAGAAGTTAAAATTTTGTGCTGGATTATGACGGGGCCAAAAAATCATGAGAAACGAGCAAAGCATGTGAAGAAAACATGGGGAAAACGATGCAACATATTATTATTTATGAGTTCTGTCCAGGGTGAGTTCATTTCATGGTTTAAATCTTTAAACTGGGAAATTGCAATGGAATTTTGCAATACTATCATAAATTGAACAGATCAAAATTTTAAGAATAGATGTTCATTGTGATTTTCAATCTACCTACCAATTAATGTGGTTAGGAGCTTATAATTATAATAATTTAATGTTGATAAAGACAATGTGAATATATATTATATTAATGATTTGAATTTTGTATTTTTTTTTTAACGCAAGTGGTACTGGTAGAGTAATTTTTATATAAAAGAAAGTGGTCTTTGGAATTGAATTTGGCATTTATATCTAATTATGGACATTTTAAAAATAAATATAATTCTAATTTAATGTTTGAAATTTTAATATGAACTAAAGGATAACGATCTGATAATTTCACATTGAATGGATTAGGCATCGATGATACAGAGAAATTGGCTAGGTAGATTAATTTATTAAGTTATTTGTTTTACAAGTGATAATATATATGTGCAGCATCTTAGGAAAAAACAAATAAATATTTGTGGTAGTTTCAGTTTTTTCCTTCAATTAATACAAGTTGATATTGAAAATCTAACAGTGAGAAATAATCCTAGTTAGGATATCAGTTTACATTCATGGCCTTACTTGCTGTAGCACTATTTCAGAAATATTGAAAATCATTGTTTCTTGGTTATTCTAGACTATTATTTTTGCAATTTTCCGCAATATGTTATACAGATATTGTCATTCATAATTCCCCGACACATCCCTATCACCATAAAGTAGCAGCATTCAATGGTATTCTTCACAGAGTATTGAATATTTCAATGTCAGAAAGAATTGGGTTTTATCAAATTGTTGTCAATAATGATAACATGTTGGATATCATATCATTTCATTAGTTTGGACTTCCATTGTTTAATATGATATAAATTGATTTGAAATCCCTGAAAGAATCTAAAAAAAATTGAAAAAATTAGCTGAATAAAATAACAATTATATTAAGCGAAAAAAAACTGTAATTACAATGAAATAAATCAAACAATCAAAAAATAAAAAATTTAACTCTTAACACGTGATGGAAATTAAAAATTATCAACAAGAAATGAAAAATTAAAAGATTCCAAGCCAAGTTACTTCACGACGTTTCGATTGTTAGTATCTACAATCGTCTTCGGATGATAACTAGACTTATTCCTCCGAGATCTGACTATTTATAGGTCATTCGAGTGCTTTCACCTATCCCCTCTCCTCTCTTTCCGCTTTATCGGTTTTAGCGGGAGTTGACCGTTTGGCGTGAGTTGGTCGTGTTTCGCGTGATTATAGGTTTTCATATGTTGGTTGCTTATCTCTACACTAGGTGGGCTAAATGTGTTCTTGGACAACTCATTTACAATCAAATTGTTATATTACTCAATATGTATAATAATAGTAATAATAAATTTATTAATCTCAAGAAACATTACATGTTTATAGTAGGGGCAATGTAACATAACTAATTAGGTAGAAATTAGTTAGTTTGAACACGCCTGATTAAGGTATTGTATAGTGAAACACACGTTACGGTTTTGTAAACTGTTCAGTGAAAGTCTCACAAAGTTACTTATGGGTTTTCATCAAGTATCAGCTAATTCCATCACAAATCAAACACCATTGTTTTATTTTTCAGTTATTTCATTCTGGAAAATTCATTGAGCCATCACTTCTTTACTAAAATTTGTATCAGCTATATTCCCTACTCTTTTTATTTCTTGTTTTTCTTGTATCTTTTCTTGTTTTTTTTTTCGTATCCGTGTTTTTCCTACCAATATAATTATTATTGTTGTCATGAGAAGCTGGCAGGCATGAAACTGAAAACGGCAATAAAATATAAGATAATGATTTCTCAGAACTGGTCTAACAGTTGTGAGGTCAAAAAAAAATTAATTAATACTTGTATCCAAATAAGATCATTTTGCAAATTCGACTATCCAGTTTTTACAAACTGTTTTGAAAATATATACTACATTTTAATTTCCAGATGATTCTCTACCATCAGTGGCATTACCAGTAGGTGAAGGCCGTAATAACCTGTGGCTGAAAACAAAAGAGGCATTCAAATACGTTTACAAACACTACTATGATAAAGCTGACTGGTTTTTGAAGGCAGATGATGATACGTGAGTATTTGAAATTTGAGACGTGAAATAAAAAAAATTACTGTTTTCTCTCCCAGATAACACAAAAGATGTATAGTAATGGGTGTTTTTTATAGAGGTATAGAACTTTAAGTTGGCATTACTTTTCAAGATGGCGACCGATTTAACAGCTGTCAAGTGATTTATTATATGATGGAATCGGCCGATACTTGATGAAAATCCATAACTAACGTATTCCAAAAACACTTTATTGTTAGATTTTCACTAAATTGTTTTACAAAAACGCAACACGTGTTTCGCCATACAATGGCTTTATCTGGCGTGTCTTTCAACTAATTCTACACATTCAATACTAAATATATATATAGTTTATGGAGTACCTGAAATCAAAGTACCTGTAAACGAAGTACCTGAATTTTAAGTAGCTGATATTTTACCTGAGTTTCTAACGAATTAAATTACCTGCACTTATGTTCCATTTTCACATTTGAAAAAATATATTCAGTAACGGAGAGTTATTGAGTTCTAATTGATCATTCAGTAAATTACCCGAATTCCTGAATCTATTGATTTCTAAACATTCTAGATGATTAAGTTTCAAACTCTTCTCTTCTAAATGTAACACCTCGTACTCATGATTGAACTCGTGTCNATTGTCAAGCACCACAGCATTCAAAGTCGGTGACTGATTACATTTCCGCAAGCTTTCTTTCATTGTGGCCCAAACCATTTCAATTGGATTGAACACACAATAGTATGAAGGCAAACGTAAAACGTGTTTCACACATCTAATCAATAATATACACTTTTTTGAAATTACGTTGTTTTATGGTCGCCAGTAATACCTTTTTCGTTGCAATCTATTCGGGTATTTCCATATCATGATATCGCGTGAAATCAACAATATCTGCTTTTTTGTGTTATTGTTTGGTATTTTAGTCAATAACCGAGAATAATACGAAGCGTTATCCATAACAATAACCGAGTTTGGAGGAATATTTGGGAGAAGCTGCTCACTGAACCAGGTTTCGAATAAAGCCGCTGTCATATCTTCGTGATAATCAGCAGACGAATCTTTTATATTTTTGTCCGACAGAAGCAAAGCATTAGGTACGAAACCACTTTCATTCCCAGCTTGCAAAATTATAACACGTTTCCCTCTTGAAGAAGGTGTGTTCAAAGCATAATACTTGGTTTCGTCTACCCAGCTATATTTGACAACATCATGGGTGTCAAACCAAGTTTCGTTGAAGTAGATTATATGTCTGCTGGATTCTCGGTAGCTTTTCATTCGGCTCAAATATTCTTGTCGGAGTTGAACAATGCGTGTCGATTCCATTATGACCATCAGACTGTTCACTTTTTTATATTTGAAACCACAAGACAATAAGACACCTCGTAGAGTTTCTATTCTAATCTTTTGTAATCGGGATAGTTGAGTAATTTATACCAAATCATTTCCAAGTTTGGTACTTCATTTTTTTGGTATATACCATGAATTGTCCGCCGAATCACATCTTTTGTAGCACCATCAACGTTTGCGAATTTTTTATTCCTTTGTTTTCGTTTCATTGTATGGTCAATGACATCCCCTATTTTAATGAGTCGAAGAACTGTCGAACGAGATAGTTTCGTTAACTCGCATATTTTATTCACAATAGCATTCTGTGAAGTGTGACAGTTTTCCTTCTTCAAGCATCCATGAATATTTAAAACTACTCGCTGAACTTGAACATGTAAATCCTTATTTTCAAATTCCGGATCCCTGTTGATTGAAACAGATTCCTCACACATAATGTTATCATTTGTTTCAAAAGGTCTCCAGAAAGCCATATTGATGAAAGTACCCAAAAACACTAAGATTTTCCCAAAAATCGGTTTAAACGATGAGATTGGAACCTTTGGTGTAATAGTTGAAAACCTTTTCTAGAGATCAATTACCCTAACACCAAACTGATATTTTTGCACTCGACGCGCGTTTCGCTAACAAGGTTAGCATCTTCAGGAGAAGCAAATTGATACTGAATCTAAAGACAAGGGTTAGCTGTTTATATACCTAAAGTTTTTTGGTCCGATGTGGATTTTGTTTATTAAATGATGATTATCCTAATTGATTTTTCGGTAATTAACTAGTGGAACCATTACCTACAAATTAATTTGTAGGTAATGGTAATGGTAATTAATTTGTCAACAGTATATTAAAAAGCGAACAAATTACTTTGCGGGTAGTGGTTCCACTAGTTAATTACCGAAAAATCAATTAGGATAATCATCATTTAACAAAGTCCACATCGGACCAAAAACTTTAGGTATATAAACAGCTAACCCTTGTCTTTAGATTCAGTATCAATTTGCTTCTCCTGAAAATGCTAACCTTGTTAGCGAAACGCGCGTCGAGTACAAAAATATCAATTTGGTGTTAGGGTAATTGATCTCTAGAAAAATTTTTCAAAAATCGGTTTGCAAAACCACTCACTACCTCACCTAACCCCACGAACACACGGCACCGATGAAGAAATATTGTGAAATGGCCAAATAATTAGTATTCAGCCAGTCCAGTTAGCCGAGCCTTTATTCCTCAACTACATTTGATAGCACGTTTACTAACTATCTGGACGACTAGGGGCCACAGGCCAGAAATGTTTATGATTGTACCAGGGATGCTTTGAACATAAAAGCACTGGTAGTATAAACATTTCCCATTTGCCGGCAGTGATTACGAACACCCCTCGTAGTGCTCTTATTTTTATTGCCGTTCCAATTGGGAATTGATAGACTATACGTTTTTTTTATTGACTATAAAAAAATTAATTGAAGGATAAAAAACATTTAACTAGCCCAGAATATTTATAATATAAAGAGAAATCTTTATTAGTATTAAAAAAAATTGTACATAGTTTATCTGTTTTAATAGCCCTGTTTATAGGAGGTCCGAAAGTGCACTTTCAAAAGTCTTTTATTTTTTGATAATTTGGCCAATATTTCCTGAAAGACTTTATTAAAGAGGACAAAATCCGGGCTAGTAGGTCTTGGACTTATAGAGCCTGAAGTACCAAATGTTTCATCTGCTACTCCAGTAGACATCATCAGTGGTATGAATGTTTCCTGTTAGGTCCAAAGTCTCAGTAACGAACAATTGAATCGTTTATTACACCACTGGACAAATTGCAGTTGATTTGGAAAACTCTATAGAAATTCCTAAAGAAATTCTACACTCTTAGCTGTGAAACTCTTTTTTGTAGCAATATCTTTATTTTGTTTTAGGTTAGGTTAGGTCTAAAGTGAGTAGGTCTATTCGACCCTCCTTCGCAACCCGCAAGGGTTTATTGAGGCTCACACCTATTCACACTCGGCCAAATAAACCCAGCTTCTTAACGAAGCCAATTAGTTGAATGGTGAGTGGTCTTTCAGGTCAGATGGTAAGAGTACGGCTCTGTCGAACTCTAAGAACCTGAATCGGTCCCCAGCGGGACAGGCACAAAGTATATGCTCTGCTGTTTCATCATTTTCCAAACAGAGGTGACATACACTATGTTCCGACAGTCCAAGTCTCTGCATATGATGATTCAAATGACAGTGACCTGTAAGAAGGCCTGTTAGATATCGTAGTTCATCCCTACTGTAGTCCAACAACTGTTAGGTATCAAGCTTCAAGGGTTAATAAACGCCTTGGAGTGAACCAATCCTTGAAGATTCTGTCAGAAGTTCATAAATCTTCTTGTCATCCAGGTGTTCAATGTTTGCTTGGCAAAGCCTATATCGATGCCAATGACAGGTTCTGGTCCGATGAAGCTGCTTGCAGCACCTTCCTTTGCAAGGGAGTCAGCAGCTTCATTGCCTTCCAGGCCAGTATGGTCAGGAATCCAGACCATTGACAATCTGTTAAGTCTTCCTATCGCGGAGAGTCGTTTTTGGCAATTTGCTACCATATTAGACGTTGCTCGGTAGGAACCAAGAGCTGTCACACATTACCGCACACAATTTCCGTAAATTTCCGCTTGAAATACAATCGCATAAGTTCCTAGGCAGGTAGATATCTCTGTCCTTGGTCTGCGACTAAAAACACCTGCACCACAACCGGAAGGTGTTTTTGATCCATCTGTGAACCAACAACTATCTACTCTTGATATTTCCTTCTCCCGGAGGATCCAGTCCTCTCTACTTGGGAAAAGTACTTTATAAGGCAGTTCATATTTGACAGTTGGAGGCATATAGCCAGAGGTCATTTCCAGAATGCTGCGACTTTCTGTGTCAACCAACAGTCTGTTGCACTCTGAATTGAATTGATTTGTGCAATTGGCAATGTGCACAAGTGTGTATGCAGTCCATCTAGCCTCTCTCTCCAGAAAAATGTGGAGAGGAGGTATATCTAGAAGGATCTTCATGGCCGCTGACGGTGTGGTACTGATGGCACCACTGATAGCCAGACAAGCCTGTCTCTGTAAGCCAGAGAGCTTCGCTTGGGTCGTTTTCTGTAAAGCCTTCGGCCACCAGGCAATTGTACCATAAGTAATCATTGGTCTGACAATCATCACAATGGTTTACTTAGGTTGCCAATGTCATAGTACTTTGGGTTCCGTAAAATACTGAGTCACGAGTGAGCTCAATTCATATTTGAATAAAGCAGGTGGTAGGTAACTGATGTTTGGACAGTTTTCAGTTTAAAGATTTGCTGAAGTCTACTGAGGGTTACTCTTAGAGAGTTAGATAAATGTTTTTGTTTTTTATTCAGTCTATACATTAGCATATCATGTATAAATAAGAATAGTAATTTATCTGACAGTATGATTTATCTTCTATTTTAGTTTTATTTTTAGTATTATTATGTTTGTCGATAATATTTTTAATATTTCTGGTAATGACATCGCGCGCGTACGTGCGTGTTTGTGTATGTGTTCCACCAAAGCAGAATAAAAATAAATATGTGAACTTAGTTATCAAATCCAAGAGGGAACTGAAAACTTTCATATGCTTTCATTTTCAGTTATATGATATTGGAAAACCTAAGGTATATGTTATTACCTCACAAACCCAGTGAACCCGTATATTTTGGGTGTAAATTCAAACCTTATGTGAAACAAGGATACATGAGTGGTGGAGCAGGATATGTTTTGAGTACGGAGGCTTTAAGAAGATTTGCTGAGGTAATATTTGGAATCGACTTCACTTAGTGAAAAATCATTCATCTGCTGTGATATAAAGATTATATACTTCATACTCATAAAATCCCAAATAGTATAGGTATAGGTATAGTTCATCCATTATGAACAATTTTCACATTACGAACTTTATTCAATACGTGTTTCACTATACAGTAACTTCTTCAATTGAACTAGAACAAATTATAATGTGAACATTGTTTTATCGTTACCATTTATAGAGTTATAAATTATTGTCCAGTAACGAATCAATGTATTAAAAAAAGGTAATACTTCATGTTGAAATATTTAAATGGCAGTAACTGAATTAAGGCGCTTCGTGGTATGAAAAATATGTTATCTCCGATTGGCATTAAACATTTCTTTTCGTGATATTTATCGATCCTAGAATTGATATTTTCAATGACTGGACGTTGAATTTTTTATTTTTTTTAGTCTTGCATTGCATAAGCACCCGACTAAAAAAATACTCTAATAAATTAACTACAAAATAAAGTTACTGTAAGTATATTTTTACAATGAAGTCAAAACACAGAACTTCTATAATATTAATGATTGGTGTGGATATTTATAGTAATGTGTGAACAATTCTCTACTGACTTGATAATCCGTTCTGTCCTTTGTAATGGTAGTATAATTATTTTTATTTATTTTTGAAGTACTGCTACTTTCATCATATGAAATATAACCTTCGGTTATTGTTGATTTCCAACCCCCATACCTTTTTAAAGTGGTTATATCTGCCCTAGGGCCCACTAATAATGTAACAAAACTTCTGCGGAAACCATGACCAGTAAACTTTTGTGGGTTTGGTGATAATAATAATCTTTAGAAAATACGATTTAATGATTCAAATTCAAAAATTATAACATACGATTAGAATTAATTTAAAAAATGATGATTCATATTCGTTGTTTAAAGAATTTAAATTTCATTTCGATTTTTTAAATACACTATACAAGCAATCGAAAAAAATTATATGCTTCACACAACAGATTTACTGCCTTGATTAGTTTTATTACCTCAAATGCTAACCGTGTCTGTAAATCTGTTACTTCTCTGCCTAGTTAAACTAATAACTATAATTATTTTTTACGTTTCCTAAAAATAAATTTTTGAAATTTAGTTCTAAGATAAATTTGAAGTAATAATTTTTTTTTTACTCTTCTGATTTTGATGATAAGGTCTAGACTATGGATTTGCTAAATGTTTGTAAAACATCATAAGTAAATGTCTTTCTCTTAAAGCTTATGAACTTTTAAGAAAGAGTTATTTCACAAATGTTCCATAACTGAAAGAGTTGTTGGCAATATATAAGGTTTCACATTTTAGATTGGTTTGGTAAATTCAACAGTCTGTTCAAAGGATAGCCATGATTCCGAAGATGTTGAGATGGGTAAATGCATGGAAGCTTTGCATGTGGCAGCTGGTGATACACGAGATTCCTTGGGTAGAGGAAGATTTTTTCCATTTGTACCAGAACACCACTTGATACCAGGACATGTTTCAAAAAATTTTTGGTACTGGCAGTATATTTATTATGAGAGCAAGGAGGTACAGTGACATTTTTTACTATAATACGCAACTGCAAGCCCATGTTGAATTTCTAGGGGGACATTTGATACGTCTCAAAAATGTATGATTTTCATTGTAGGGGAGTAAAAAATAAGTTTCAACCTAATATTATCAGTTGAAAGTGATGCTCATGAAAATCTTGGAAAAGTAAACACAGGAGGAGCTGATTCACAGCTTTCACAAAATTCGTTCTTGATATCAATGCTGTACAAATTAGTTGGTGCATGGAGTGGTAAACATAAAATCATCCCCCTTACCCTAGATCTACATAGGAGTGGTGATTTTATTACTTATTCATAAAACAGTGACATTTGTTACTTTGTAACTTTCCATTTTATTCACACATATTTGACGGGAAAAATCATATTGGAAACATTTCTGACATATATTTATTTCCGGTATTCAATGAATGTGCAATCTAAAATATACTGTCTCATGAGTTTTCATCTTTTTTTGATATCAAAGATAATTTGAAAACATATAGTTTTAAGTGACCTTTGAGGGTCAAATCAATCAAATCAAATAAAAATATACTTTATTACCCAAGATCTGAACATCTTATTGGCATAGTGTAGTAAAGTAAAACGTATATATGGGACATCAAATTAACAAATATAAACTATAAAATAATGCTTAGAGACAAGAGCAGAGTATATGGACAGAACAATACTAAGCCCAGCTGAACATATACAAATATATGTACATGAATATTGAGTAAATCTAAAAATATAATGCTACGTAATGAACATTGATAGCCATTTCGTGTTGATTTCAAAACTTGTTTACACAAAGCTACATGCCAATTACTTGATAGAACCTTAGTAGAATTCGTCCACACTATAATAGGGCCTCCCAATAAGGAATTCTTTTACTTTCTGAATTTCTTTTCATTATATATTCGCCTTAAATTAATGGGAAGGTGATTAAATAACTTCTTGCTATTGAAAATAATAGATTTTTTTTGTGAAAGAGCTAGAGTAAGTGTTGGAAGGGAAATGAAGTAAGACTGATATTTACTATAAGTTGAGGTGGTATTAAATTGATTTTTATATTTTTGTGGAAAGGAATTATTTGTATAGACAAATAAATGCAATCATTTATTTATAGGGGTAATTCACGAATAAAACAATTTACTGAAGGTTTATATTACATGGAGGTCAACCTTTGCACTTCTGCCTCTGTTAGCAAGGCTCTATTCCAACACTGATCCAAACCACATGAGAAGTAATAAAACTACTGTTTGAATTCCCTAATACAAAAATGTATGGCCTACGTTAGTGTATTTGAAAACATTTGAAGTTCCTTTAAACTTCATAATTTTATATATTGACCAACATTTTTGTGTGGCAAACGAACAGTAATTCTCAATCTTGACTAGATTGGAAATCTCATCTGGATACTTTGTCAGAAAATGTTGCAAGGCATTGCTATGCCCTAAGAGTCATCACTAAAACAATAAATGTTCAAGCGTCAATGTCTGTCTATTATGCACAAGTCCACTCAAGACTTAAATACGGCTTAATTTTTTGGGGTGCATCTGTGAACGTTAAAAAATTTTTTTCACTTCAAAAACGTTGCCTTAGAATTATTTATAAATCCAAACAAACTAATAGCTGTAAACCTTTATTCATAGAAAAGAAAGTACTGACCCTATACAGTCAGTATATTCTTGACAGCATAATGTTTATTAAAAGCAATCCAAAGCTTTTTAACGACTTTGATAAAGCACACATCTACCCAACAAGAAATAAAGCAGATTTGGTTACTAATATTCCTAATTTTACTTTTATTCAGAAAAATATACTGTATACTCTAATAAAAATCTATAACAAACTTCCAAATGCACTAAAAAGCCTCTCTAAAACAACACTCAAAAATAAACTTAAAAACTTTCTTCTAAATAGAGCATACTACTCAACTGATGAATATTTTAAAGATACCATCTCTTCAGATTTTACCTGCTAAAATGTCTCACATTTAATTGATTTTAATTTTTAAATGTTTTTAACTGTATATTTATTACACTGACATGTTCTACGCTCATCTGGGCATTTTACTTCATTGTAATTGAACAAATAATAAATAATAATAATAATAATAATTAAAAAATCACATTGCCATAAGTGTTGATGTTGTGGTTTAGCACAAACTAAGAAGGATCAGCTCCTACGTTCATGAAAATAATAATGACATTATGAGAGATTGACCTAAACCCGGCCAGGCTAGCTGCCAGAGATTTAATTGATTCCTATTGGGATTATTTGCCATTTGTAATCTTTGAAAATTAAAAGAGGAATCCTACACTGGTTTTTGCACTATTCATGCGGAAATGTAAATATCTGTCAATATGGTGGGTGTTAAACAGAACTGAACATATCTTCTCATGGAGTAACGTTAAATCCCTCATATGAAGTTTCATGGAAAATACATGGTGTTTCAAATGAAGCGAACACCGACAGTAAGGTATCAAATAACCTTATCCCAAAAACAATTACATGTTAAGCTTTTTTAGAGCTAATTATACATACATATTGATGAAAAAACAAAGATTTTGGTATAAAGAACAAATTTTACGAAGGTCATATAAGAATTTATGATTTTTGCGCATATAGAGGTGAAATTTCCAAAAAATTGTAATTTTTTCTATTTTCCTGCCACAGTTTTTTTGTACAGAATTTTTTTAGGGAAGATCCCAGTCATAATTAGTACATTTATAACCGTTTTACAAGACTGTCTGACAAATTTATCCCTCTGAGTTGTGTTTTCATTTTTCCAATATTTTCACGTGCACCACTTTCAACTGACATCATTTAGCTTAAATTTATTTTTACGTCAGTTCTTATAAAATGATAAATAATTCCATAGTAAACTCAAGTTCGCCAATGTATCATTTATTAGTTACATGATTGAGTATTGACACTAGAACACATCTAAAGTATATCTAACCAAACCTAAGAGTACATCACAAATGACTTTTTTTCAGGGAATGGGTTGCTGTTCTGATAATGCTGTTTCATTTCATTATGTCAGTCCAAATCAAATGTATGTTTTGGAGTATCTTATATATCATCTAAGACCATATGGTATTTCGTTCCATGTTGAAATGCCACCTGAACTGACAGATGAACCTCCTTCAGTCAAATATGAAAAACAAGTCAGTACTACTACATAGAGGTAAGTCTTCAGTTGTTGTCTTCTTTTGATATGAAGCAGTCTACCATGTTGCCAGCTTCAGTAAGCAGCACCAGCTACCTCAGCAGCAGGTAGCTGATGGTTCACGAATTACAATTTTCTCTTTATATCACAAATAAGTGATATTAGCCATAACAAATTAAAGCAGTTTTGATTCACATTTCTATCAAATGTTCACAAATCCATAACTTTCGAACTTTTGGTAAGCAAATTCTGATACCTTAGGGCGGAGGCTTTGCTCTTCGATTATGCATTTGCATAAAAGCAAACTTTTTAAATTTAAGGAATTGCACGAATTTTGATATTGTGCTTGGTGTATGAGGGATATTTCCAGAAAAAGGAAACGAAATATACACTTTGAGTGATTTCAGTGGTTGAATAGGTCCAAAACATTTATTCACTAAGAAAATCTATAAAAGTTTAAATTATGTAAGTTTTTTGCTTCCCTTCTGCTAATAATCTGTAGATACTGTATCGAAGATACATATTTTTATGTTTTTTCCCGTGGGTTTGACAATAATTGACCAATATTTAAACTCAACTTTATTCAACTACTACACTGAAAATTCAACACAAATATTCTAACTGAACTTCAGATCAATACTCAAATGTCTATCGCCTTATTAGCTCAATTCGTCTGCACTTACCGAACCAGACTGCCTCCTCTGCCTGTTGGTAGTGCTTATATTCCCCTTTCGGAGCTGATAGGATTATTCTCATAGCGACACAAACCTTGGATTGAGAACACCAGTGGGGTAGATTGTGACCTTGCATAAGTCAGTTGATCGGTGATGACCAGCGGCGGCCATATGTGCTGATCTCAAAAACTGCTCAGCTAATTTTGGTACTGTTTTCACTAATGTATTGTGGTAAGCTTCACTTAATATTGAGTGTCTAATTGATTTCAATCAGTTCATAAATAAAAAAGTTATTCAATTTAATGAATCACGTCAAATTTCTCGGAAAAAAACAATGTGCAGTTAATTTGACTATATACTTTGTGAAACATTTTATTTTATAAATCAAAGAGGCAAATACATGAGAACTATTTGTTGTTGAAAAATCTAGAGGTACTCAAAAACTTAAATCCATTTCACTGATGCCTTACAGTTACTATTGGGTCTTTTTCACGCTTTCAAGTTTGTTTTTATTTACAGATCAATCCATAGAATGAAAGTTGTGCCAGCTGTTGGAGCAACCAGAATGAACAAATCTAGTCCATATTACAATATAAACACAAGAAATGATCTTTTGGCAAAAAATTTCCTGTCTAGTTAGTATTCAAAGACTGTCTTGTGTATTCTCTGATAATTTTTTGAAATGCAGATATTCAAATATCTGATAATTGTTATTTTTGTGATATTGATTTAATTATTGTCCATAGAACTTGTCAAGTACAAGAAATTAGGGAAGTTTTCTCATGATCAAATACATAATTTAGATTGAAAATTATGTATGTGGCATTAGAATTGAAATAGTTGATTCAATTTTGAATCATCGAAGTATTTGTCCTGTTAGGTGTACCATACAATGAAAACATCTAAGGGATTTCATAAATAATCAGTATTCAGATATTGTAAATTTTATGTTCAATAATATAAGACAAGTTGGGGCAAGTGTATGTTATAGTTTGCAAACTTCAACCAGACTTCAAAAACAGTCCTAATACTTGGTTAATATTCATTTATGTTCAAGATACCTCTGAATCCCTTATTTTCAACTGTATAGCTGTTTCTTAACTTTGAAAAAATCGCATTATGAAAAAGGTTTTTCAGGTGTGAGTTGGTATATAGTTCTAAACTCGGCCACTACATTTCATCCAGCTCTTTACTTCAAGAACAAAATTCATCACCAACTTATGCACTTGCCCCATTTTCGCCCTTGTCCCGAGGTACCTTTGAATTAGCTAGGTTAGGATCAAATAAGATATAAGTTTTTTTTTCCATTGCGCCATTGCAACAAAGTATTTGTTATTTTCATGGAAGTTATTTCTTATAGTTTAATCATATTTTAGTATTGTTGCCAAACGTTTATTCCATTGCTGAGGATGCAATTCTTTTACATGAAACAACTTGAGTTCAGGGTTTTTATGATTATTTCATGATGAACAGTGATTTCAATACATTGTGTTGATTTTGATAACACAGAATATTGTTTTCTTTTCTATGATTAATAACTGTGCCTATATGCTTTATCCTGAACTGTATCATTAATCTTATCACCAAGTATATTACACTTTTTTTTCTCGATGAATTAGACAATTTTTCTAGGCCACATTTGTTTATCCATGATTATAATTTGATTTTTAAAGTAATTGTGAAATTTGAAAAATTATTATATTGGTTAAAGGTCAATGACAATACTAACCAAATTATTTTTCGAAGAAGTATCTTTAAATTCTAAGCTTTCAACCAACTTATAGATGGAAATCTCAATTGACTTGTTTGAGAAACTTCATTTCTCAGTAATCTTTAAAATAATTATCTCATTTTGTAAAAAACTAGTAATATTTTGGTTTACAAAGGTTTTTTTGGCACATTTTTATGATTTCATTGCTTTCTTTCAGACTGCAGGTACAAATATTTACGTGAATTCACAATCTTTTCTTAAATATTCAAGTTTATCAATACGAATATGGCATATTTATTAGGTATTTCATAGATTGTGTTTTTCAACGCTATTGTTATTCTGAAAGGTTAAGATAAATGTGATATTGTAAGTAGAAAATGGTTTTTATGTCTCTTCTGAAAATTGATAATTAAGTTTGTTTTAAAGAATTATAAATATCTCAACAGGTTTGCAAACTCTTTACTTCGTAACTAAAAACTATAATATATGAGGTGAAAATTATTCAAAATTTAATATCTTGTACAGTTTACAAACTTGATTTCATTCAGATGAATACTGGATACCACCACAATTTATTTCAAAATATATGTGCTTCTTCATTTCATAAACAACTATTTTTTTCAATTCTGGAAAATAGTTATTCACAATATGAAACTTATCATTTATGAATCTTACATCTTTCACACTTATTGAGAATACAATAGTGTTCGCCCATAAAAATCCAGAATGTTTATTCTCGAGCAGTTGATACCAGGTGAATATTGTATAGATTAGCTGATAAATTGTGGACATATACACACGAACCACTGGTGCGTCATTTGAATACCTGTTATGTAATTAATGGCACACTAAAGCTTTGTACAAGCACATAGGGTTGCTTCTTCAGAGCTCAAAAATTGAATGAGAATTGTAAATAGAAAACATTTGTATTTAATAAAAACAATACTAGTCATCTCAATAAATACTTAGAATAAAAATGTTTTTTATTTTCATACTCTCAAAATATCACCTTGACTTTCTACCCATTCTCTTATTCAAGTATTCAAAGAGAGAAAATGTTGAAGTGCTAATTAAAACCGTGGCAAGTACAATAACCATGAAGTCTAATGAAAATATGTTATGCTGCTATAAATGATAAAATGAGAATTCAGGGTGGAAACTATAATCATCAGATAACAGTTTATTCTACACTGAAAAATAGCACATATACATTTCTATACATGAAAAAATTATACCAATTGTTAACTACTCTGGTGCTTACAAAAATGACATACCGACCTTTTTCACTTCGTTTTGGATCATCAAGTTTTATGTTTAAGTTGAAACACATGCTCTGCAGAAAACATTAAATAATAATAATATTTAATAATTTCGAAGAGTATAAAACAGTATTATGTTGCTTTTTAGATTAATTTTGCTGTACTACATTGCTGACAGAACTGCTAAAAGCCTCATAGATAAGTCGGAGAGATATTAACACAGTCTAGGCTTAAGCAGCACACAAGTCTAATAACTATAGCTGTCAGTGCCGTAACTCAAAAAATTTACTATTCAAATATTGGTAATTTTCTGAATTTTTTTTTAAGCTTCCTTTGATAAAGCTACTGTGTTAGTGAAATGTCGTGATATATTTTTCAAATAACTTTGTGGAGATCAAATCGTGAGGTGTAGTTTATGAAAAAATATTGGTAATGTTTCCGTAATATTGAATATTGCTAGTTTTTTATTGAAATAGTAACAATTGTTTGTATAAGTTTGATATATATATATATATA